AAGCAAAAACATTTTACCACAAATTTTAAAATTAAATTTGAGGGATGCTTGCAAACACAGAAATCCGGCAATTCTTACTTCCCGGTTCCAAACCCCAACGTGACTGAGCTAGAGAACAATAGAACTTCGGATCACTTTATTATTTCTGCCCTCCCGCCGTTCATTCGTCGAGCAGAAGGGCAAAAAGGGTAGATGGAGTCGCCAGCTGTCGCAACTCATCACATAATTCTAACAACACATTTTGGACAACCGGATTGACTAAAGAAACAACATGCTTATAAGATGGATTAGTCACTGTACGCTCTAGCCATTTAACGGCCTCGCATTTTAAACAATGTATTAAATTTTTAAAAAGAATAGAGTAAATATACAACGGTAAAAAGTTTTACTCCATAAGAACAAAGAACACGGCGGAAATGATAACAGAAGAAAATTTACCGTTGTTTCCGCCTACAAATTCGCACAGATATTTCGCTGCCTGCAGTCTGCGAGTTCGACTGCTACCTTAACACCCAAGCAGCCCTCACATCCACTATCAAACCGTTAGACGGATTACACGATTCTACAGCATATTTACAAATTAGCTGCAAAGCGTTGTACAGTATTGCTAAACTGATTTCAAGGTACTAACAATAAACGTAAAATGCTACTTTAGATAACTTCGATTAAATGTTCATACGAAAGTAATCACTTAAGCCATTTTCAAGATGGCGACAAGTGCGCTTTGCAGAAATTCTAACGGTAACTAAATAAAAGCAAAATTGCCAGAATATTTTTATCTCTTCGAGTTGTAGGTTATAGAGAAGTCAAAATGTTCAGCTTATAAAGCAGAAATTTTAAAAAGACAACATTGTTATCGTTATTGCTATGCTCATATAAGATTAACAAAGCATGAAGAGAAGAGTTGCAAAACTTATAATGCCTCGCCGTTAAATATTGCACCTCCGATTGAACTGTGTGCCATATTCCTCGTATCTGCTTATCTTGATGAGTCATTTACAAGTTTTGAATTACCTTTAAATTTTTATGACTAATGTGTGGTTCTCACAGGATAAAATGCCAAAGTACATTTTTTGCTCTTTTCGTATCGATTTTAACCCGGAGATTGCCTCTGAATCGTTCAGGGCAATTTGCTCAGATTTTTAACAATCTGCATCTTTTCACTAGCCACTCGGTGCAACCACCATACTGTAGGAATACTTCGCAATTGAGGACGTCGTAGTTTCTATCGAAATCAGTTTTATAATGCTTTCTGGCCATTAAAGTTTCCACACCGCATGAAACCACCCTGAATAGGTTGCTTTTAAGATGGCAAACTTTGCAGCCCCATTCATGTAGTAAGATTTATGCATGTTATTCTTCTGGCTATGCTAAGGCAATTCAAAAAAGACCTTTCGGATTTGACAGTGCATTTTGTTTATTCATACTTGCATTATATCAGGTGTATCATCGCACGCGGAATTCAGCAGTAACGAAATCCCGCTCCAATGATTTGCAATAAACAGAATCGAAGATTACTAGAATTTTAATCCTGAAGCGATACCAGCAACCTTAAACAAGAGCGATAACATGAAAAGAGTTCCGATCCAAAAGTTAAACTTATAGTGCATCAACTTTCAATACTTGAAATCAAATTTTAATCGACTGATGACTGCAATAAAAGCGTGAGATCACGGTGCAATGCTACGTCTACAACGAGATAGACAACGAACGCCTGTCTCGAACTGTCCTTCATCAAATCAGTTAGGTTAGCACTTCAAGACTGCTGAACAAATTATGCTTCCAGCAGCTTACGGATAGCTATTCGAAACCGGTTGCCATATAATGTTAACTCGAACAGTACAGTCGCAGAAACAATGATTGGGGATAGTAGTAAGCTACCGAGGAATGTCCCTGCGACTGCCGTTGTTAACGTAACAAGTGACTGGCCGCTGCTTCTGTGACGCCGGTAAACTCTTATTGCATCGGAAACTGTTATACCGATAACAGAAACGGGGACCGAAACAATTAGGGCAATCACAAATTCCAGTGGTAACAACAGCGTCACTAAAATGTTCCTAAGCTGACGCACTTGACTGTATCTACTGCGGCCCATGAACGAACATTCGGGCGGAAAGAGGAAGTGCGTCGGACCAGCCTCCTTTCCGCAATGCCAGCAGAATTCACACCCGCATATCTTGCATACGATGTGGTTACACGCCCAGTCGTTCAGCTTTTGTACGGAGATGTGGCATCTAGGACAAAGCTTCGTGTTCTTCGACGTGAAAGACGGAGTTTTCTGTCGACAGCTATGGTTCTCTGTCCATCGCGCTCTGCAGTTGTAACAGAAGCTGATTCCACAATCTTCTCTTCCACAGCGCAGTTCTGGACATTCGTTGCAATTTCCCGCTAGTACTCCGTACTCGCAATCAGGAGCCGGACACCATCTCATGTCAGGATTCCAAGAGAGAACCCTTATTAACTGAAATTTTTCGAACTTTTCAAGTAACCATTTGTCTTTTTTCAATAAGTTGTAGACATCGTTATTGTGTAAATCCGCCGAACAAACCGGACAGCCAATTTTCCCATTACCTTGCATGACCTCCATTGTGGCGTATTGGACGAGGCAGCTTTCACAGCAGCGGTCCTTGCAATTCGTCAGTGCCGGAAAGTGTTTCAGTGGATATTTTTCCAAACATATTGGACACCATGCAGATTCTTCCGGCTCTGATCGCTCGTTTATTTCGGTTTGATTTGACAGCGAAGAAGCTTCTTTGTCCTTCTGCGGCTCCGATTGAATAACACCTTTCGGACACTCATCTGTTGCTTTGCCACGATGCAAGAAACAAAAGCGTAACATATTCATGATCGAAACTTAACGCGCTAGCATCAGATCGAGTAATTGATTGGCGGACATCATGCGCACAGCTGTTAAGTGGCATCCGACCATTAGCAAGAATCTCCATGGCATTTTAATTTGAGATGTCTTAATGTAATGATACTAGTAGTTTAAAATGAACGGTTTAACGGGTAGCTTCAAAATCATCAATATTTGTTCTAAAACATATGATCAATTAGCCCTCAACAACTGATTTTGGAATTCTGCGTTTATCTTAGGCTAGCCGAGCGATGTTATTGGAGTCGATTCTCAACTGAGCATAGGAAAATTTTCTGCTATGATTTTTCCTGCTTTCCTCATGACCGTGCTATTGTCATCCTTGAGTTGTTTATCACAGCAAGGCTAAGCGAAAGGATACACTTGCTATCCGGCCTACCGATGCGTTTTGATCACGTTGCTGCTTTCTTTTCTTTGCATTATTCATCAACGAAGGAGTCACTTTGAAACGATACCCAAACAACCGCATTTTAATCATGATCAATTAATTTCTTAGACTTGAATAGATTGATTAATGATCATTTCTACCATTAATTTGGCATCGGCCAACTTCGCATTTTCATAAAATCAGTTGGATTAGCATAGATCGAATTACTACCGCTATAGAATTGCAAAATCGATGGCTTCTTTTTGTCCACCCTTAAAAACAGATAACACCCAGTACCCCAGTTTGTTTTCATCACACAGTCAACGGTCGGTCTGAATCTTCCTCATATAATTTCCCCAATTTCTCCTTTGGGTATGTTCCTTCCATCGTTCATTTTATATAACGCGACCTCTATGAAATGACACCGTTATGACTGGGTGACCAAGGTTTACACGTGATTCTTCATTTTAGACCTTTCGATCAATGAAATATTCATGCAGAAGGGGTAAACAAAAATGGCACGAGCAAATGACATAGCGCTCGCACTGATACGAACGGTGGGGCAGCTTTGATCGCTGTTTCGTATTATTAATACCACACACCGTCATTACCGGTGTGAAAAATTTGAATTTAAAAATAGCCCGAACATTTCGCAACAAGAACAGATCATCACTGAACCGGTTCAAAGATACCGCAACTGGCCTGCAGAAAAGCCACCAGATCTACCGTAATCTGGCTTAGAACTTCATGGAACTTTTGTTGAAAACAAAACTGAGAAAGCACCTCGTCCAATTGTGAATCAATAAACGCTCGAATAATTATTTTTGCATAGCAGTTCATTTTTTCATCTCTTACAGCCTGATTCATTCTTTTCTCGGTGCCTACACTTACGTGAATGGTATCATTTGCTAAAATGCCTCCAGTCATCGTAAGTACTCAGCAAAGTACATTTATGTACCTGCTTTCTTTCCCAAATTTAAGCGTAAGATAAATGCAGGGTCAAACGAGTCGACGAAAAACAAAAGATTTTCATCTGGCTTCAGTACTTTTAAGTATTGCTAAGCAGATATCGTTTTGTATTGCATGTCTTTGCGAAGCGCGCGATACCACAGTGATACGGAGGTCGGCTTTGTACTCCGAAAGTGACGAATAGGAATCGAGGAAAATCGAATGCTTTCTTAACGGCTAATTCCTTTAAGCATGGAATTTATTCCACTTAGCCTTGGTGCAACCAACTTAAAATCGCGTACCAAGCCGCTGACCGGCGAACGACTGGGCAGCGTGATGTGCCCGTGTGGTCATACCAGAATGAGCCGTAAGTTCCGCGATGCTGTTTCATGTAAGCAGCTCATAAGGCCACAATTCACCTTGGCCCATCTGATAGCCGTCTATTCAATGTGATAATCAATAAAAGATTCAATCCCTGTTATTGACGTTGCCATCTTCCTGGAAAATTATTCCTTATCCCTTTGAGAGTGCGCTTTTAATGGCAGCGGAGTACCTTCAA